ACCCCCCACCTCCCAATGAAAGGGGTTCACCACCCACGGTGTGTGCCCCTCCCCCATCACCCACCTGCTAGCCTCCCCTTGATGAGCTGGATGGCCAGCTCCGGATCCTGGTACACAGACAGAAGATAAGGAGAAGGTAGATGGTGGTGATGGTTTGCCGAAATGCACCCCTGAAACAAGCAACATACACACAACAATGACGATACTGGATACTATTCACCTTCAGCAGCCAACACTTGTCGTAAGAGGATGGATGACTAAGTAATAGCGGAGGCTTGCAGACTTTTGTTCATGCATATCCCAACTACATGGACTAATGCTCATGACCTCAATCACTGGGTTCTTTGGTCAAGACTCGACATTTACAGTCCAATATTGTTCATGAGCTAAGCTAATACTTTAACCCTTAACGCATAACGCATCCTTCTTTTCTTGATAATATATTCTTCAGAAAAACCTAGGGAACTTCATGTTTAATTTATTTATTGAAAGAATTGGGAGATATATCAGAGTCAATCAACGTTGATATGATGTGATAATGAATGTTTTGAGGGTGCATCACCACTTGCACTTCCTTATGACCATAGTTGTTTGTACAGTAATTGCTCTTGAAAGATGATATGGTTTGTGACGTGAAATTTGCATGTGTACGATTTTCATTTTCAAACAAACCAAAACTGCTATTAACAAACACTAACAACTGTGTGACTTAAAAGATGATCAAAATTCCAAATGGTCTCAGTCTACTGACCTTCTTGAAAAACTGTTTAAATCAAGAATGAAACTCCATGCACGTAATGGGCTACTATAAGCAAGCATGTGCATCCCATGCGCTGTGTTTAGGGGTGGTGATAAAGTGAGTGAGTTTTGTTTTTACGCCGCTTTTAGCAATATTCCAGCAACATCACTTATCGTGGGACACCAGGAATGGGCTTCACACATTGTACCCATGTGGGAATTGAAACCCGGTCTTCAGCTGGCGAGCTGAACGTTTTGAATCCACTATGCTGCCCAACCAAACTGTCAAACTTACCGAAGCTAGCCATGTTTTCTGTAGGGACAGAAAGTAGTTGAAGTTGGCAGCAAAGATGGTGAGAAGCCATATGTGGATGTTGTGGGTTCGCGAGTCTTCAACTCATAGTAATTTCCTGAATAGCTGTAGCATGTTGCTTGAAACAAAGACAGGGAATAAGAGTGAGGTGGACAAGGAGGTGAGGTGAGGAGGTGAGGGTGAGGGAGGTGAGAATGAGGTGAGGTGAGGTGAGGTGAGTGAGGTGAGGAGTGAGGTGGTGGAATTGGGCTTAACGTCGCGGCTTGAGAATATTTCGCCATATGACGCACGCATGCGGTGTATGTGTATGTCGTGGCTGCTTTGTACTAGCCCAGACTTAAGCTGGTTTATAGTGCTAGCCCACTGGAGATACCATGCCACAGTGAAGCATGAATACCTCCACTCGACACATTATACTGACTCTGAGGCCACTCCAGTCCTTGTGCACCCATTAATGCGGCGCCAGGCTGGGACCAACAAGTACCATATCTTAACATCTTTTGGTATGACGCCTGATTCGGGATCGAGACCTCACAGCTTCCGGCCCGGTGGACTCTAACCACTACACCACGAGGCGGTCAGAGTGAGTGGTGGTGAGTGAGTGAGTGAGTGAGTGAGTGAGTGAGTGAGTGAGTTGGGTTTACGCCACCTGTAGCAATATTCCAGTTAATATCAATGCAAGCGGGGAACACCAAAATGGGCTTCACACATATTGTACCCATGCAGGAATCTAACTGGGTCTTTGGCATGACAATCAAACACTTTAACCACTAGGCTACTCCTAGGCCCAATTACACTAAGAGCAAACATTTACATTCAAATGGTAAGAAAGCTTAACTTGACCAAACGCGCGCAAGATTACATGACCAGTATGCTATAACATATGATGATACCATCTTTTTCTGCAGTATCATCTGAAGTCAGGGGTGGTCACCTCAAGCCGGAGGTCGGAGTTGCTCAGGAATATGTGTTTAAGACTGGAAAACTGCCATCTAAAATTCTATGTATCATGTACCACACTTAACAGTTAAGACAGACTGACTTCCTTATAATATACAGTGGGTAAAAATCCTTCTTGAATGACACATACTGCAGTGAGTGAGTTTAGTTTTACGCCACTTTTAGCAATATTCCAGCAATATCATGGCAGGAACACCAGAAATGGGCTTCACACATTGTAAATCCATGTGGGGAATCAAACCCGGTCTTCTAGGGTGACGCAGAGAACACTTTAACCACTAGGCTACCCCTTAATCGCTACAACTATAGTCCGCTTACTTCAAAAGTGGACCGATGAATTGCACCTAACTCGAAAACTAATAAACATAAAACACTCAATGAAACGCTGATCATAATCAAAACATCATACCCACTTTGTGATTTTTTTGCACAATTTTGGTCTATTTGTTCTAGAGGGAGGAGGCAAGAGAAAGGACAGCCAGGTGTTCGAGAACAGGATGGAGACGGGCGCGAGCACAGGTTAATGAATAAATAACTTTGTCTGTGAACGCAGCTTCTCGAACACCTGGTTGTCCCTTTGCACTCCTCCTCGTGAACAAATAGTGAACTGTGTCAATATTTTAATGATAGATTGTTAAACAACTTTTTTATTTTAGGACAATAGGGTCTGCAAAAACCTCACAGAAGTGGGTAGCAACATAACATTATATCAATAGTATAACTTTACTGCATGTTGCAAATGCCTAATATCATGATAAACTGGTAAACGAGGCAAGAGACATGTCACATTGCCAAAATTAGTGACCAATTTAATGTATGTGCCAGAGTTACCTCCCTTCAAGGAGACTCCACCGAGGCAACCCTTCAGGCAGAATCTGGATAATCTCAGATGTCTTTAATAATTCTCTCATTATACTCTTTCTGAGTGGCATTTAGTAGTAGGAAGTACATTGAAGACTTTTGTTGAATTTATAGGAATGGCCTGCTTGACAATGGTACAAGAAATGCACTCCACCGAAAAAAGAAGTTGTTATCCATAAGGCTTGTCTACTCATTACCATTATATCTCATGAACTCTAATGTTCCTACTTTGTAGAGTAGGATGCGCTGAACTAGTGAATAGGTAAAGGAAATCTACGGGCAGAGAATTGTAGCCAGGTGGTCCCGATTTCCATATAGATTACAATATGTAAAGCCCATTTCTGGTGTCCCCTGCCAAGATATTGCTGGAAATGTTATATTATAAATCCTAAAAGCGTGTAAAACTAAAACTCACTCACTCATAGATAAAGGTTAAAACCTGAGTCTTGATATATCTTGAGAAAATATCTGGATAGCTAATCACTGCCATTAAATCTGAAAACTGGTCTGCAAACTCTTAGACTTGAAATGAGGGTTCCTCTTGAAAGGATGTTCACAGACCATGATAATAGAGAAAAGCACACATGATGATATTGTGCCTCATTAGACCATATGTAGCTGAACCTGTTGAAATTAGCCCCAACATATATTCCTTCCTCCCAGTGAAGATATATACTCACAGAATCCCAGGAGGAGCCCAAGGAGAGCAAATATAGTGACCCACACCATGATGCCAGCCAGCCAACGCGAGCAAGATCTAATCCAGATCATAGCAACCAGCATGCGCCATTCCCAGGCCCCTGTCACACATAAACAGATGGTCATGCAAACAGAACTGGCCTCCATACACACAGTCAGAATTGGTCATACACTGTCAGGTAATTTTTTTAGCTTGGCCTCATAAGATATCCTATCTCTGAAACAGGTAAGCCTTATCTCGATTTGATGACAGTACTTTTATAGGACATGTCTGTAATAAATGGAACAGGGTGATTGCAGCCAATTGAAGAGAAACTGCACCAGTGTTTCTTAAAACGACTTCAATTCTTTTAGCTTGGTCATACAATACAATTCTTTATTCAAAAGAGTGTGTATGTAGGCCATCGGCCCACATACAAATATTAAATGTCAGAGTTGGTCATACACTGTCAGAGAGTTGGTCATACACAGTCAGAGAGCTGGTCATACACAGTCAGAGTTGGTCATACACAGATTTGGTCATACACAGTCAGAGAGTTGGTCATACAGTCAGAGTTGGTCATACACAGAGTTGGTCATACACAGTCAGAGTTAGTCATCATACACAGTCAGAGTTAGTCATTTCAGTCAGAGTTGGTCATACAGAGTCAGAGTTGTCATACACAGAGTTGGTCCTTCACGGGAGGGTCATACACAGTCAGAGAGTTGGTCATACACAGTCAGAGAGTTGGTCATACACAGTCAGAGTTGGTCATACACAGTCAGAGTTCATCATACACAGAGCTGGTCATACAGTCAGAGTTGGTCATACACAGTCAGAGTTGGGTCACACAGTCAGATAGTTAGTCATACACAGAGTTGGTTATCATACACAGTCAGATTGACTGACTGACTGAGTTTGGTTTTTACGCCCATTTTAGCAATATTCCAGCAACATCACGGGCGGGGGACACAAGAAATGGGCTTCACACATTGTACCCATGTGGCAGGGGATTCGGAACCCTGGTCTTCGGCGTGATCGAGCCAAGGCTTTAACCAACTAGGCTACCCCACCGCCTCTCACAGTTAGAGAGTTGGTCATACACAGAGTTGGTCATACACAGTCAGAGTTGGTCATACACAGTCAGAGTTGGTCATATACAGTCAGAGAGCTGGTCATACACAGTCAGACTTGGTCATACACAGTCAGAGTTGGTCATACACAGTCATAGTTGGTCATACACAGTCATAGTTGGTCATACACAGTCAGAGAGTGGGTCATACACAGAGTTGGTCATACACAGTCAGAGTTGGTCATACACAGTCAGAGTTGGTCCTACAGTCAGAGAGTTGTCATACACAAAGTCAGAGTTGGTCATACACAGAGTTGGTCATACACAGTCAGACTTGGTCATACACAGTCAGAGTTGGAAGCCACACACAGTCAGAGTTGGTCATACAGAGTCAGAGTTGTCATACACAGAGTTGGTCATACACAGAGAGGGTCATACACAGTCAGAGAGTTGGTCATACACAGTCAGAGAGTTGGTCATACACAGTCAGAGTTGGTCATACACAGTCAGAGTTGGTCATACACACAGTCAGAGTTGGTCATACACAGAGTTGGTCTTACAGTCAGAGTTGGTCATACACAGTCAGAGTTGGTCATACACAGTCAGATAGTTAGTCACACAGAGTTGGTCATACACAGTCAGACTCCGACTGACTGACTGAGTTTGGTTTTCGCCCATTTTAGCAATATTCCAAGCAACATCACCGCCCGGGGAATACAAGAAATTGGCTTCACACATTGTACCCATGTGGGGATTCTAACCCTGGTCTTCAAGCGTGGCGAGCCAAGGCTTTAACCACTAGGCTACCCCCACCGCCCCTCACAGTTAGAGAGTTGGTCATACACAGAGTTGGTCATACACAGTCAGAGTTGGTCATACACAGTCAGAGTTGGTCATAGCTACAGTCAGGAGAGTTGGTCATACACAGTCAGACTTGGTCATACACAGTCAGAGTTGGTCATACACAAGTCATAGTTGGTCATACACAGTCATAGTTGGTCATACACAGTCAGAGAGTGGGTCATACACAGAGTTGGTCATACACAGTCAGAGTTGGTCATACACAGTCAGAGTTGGTCCTACAGTCAGAGAGTTGTCACACACAGTCAGAGTTGGTCATACACAGAGTTGGTCATACACAGTCAGACTTGGTCATACACAGTCAGAGTTGGTCATACACAGTCAGAGTTGGTCATACAGAGTCAGAGTTGTCATACACAGAGTTGGTCATACAGAGAGGGTCATACACAGTCAGAGTTGGTCATACACAGTCAGAGAGTTGGTCATATACACAGTCAGAGTTGGTCATACACAGTCAGAGTTGGTCATACACAGAGTTGGTCTTACAGTCAGAGTTGGTCATACACAGTCAGAGTTGGTCATACACAGTCAGAGTTGGTCATACACAGAGTTGGTCATTACAGTCAGAGTTGGTCATACACAGTCAGAGTTGGTCATACACAGTCAGATAGTTAGTCATACACAGAGTTGGTCATACACAGTCAGACTGACTGACTGACTGAGTTTGGTTTTACGCTTTTAGCAATATTCCAGCAACACTCACAGTAGGGAAACCAGAAATGGGCTTCACATTGTACCCATGTGGGGATTCAACCCTGGTCTTCGGACGCGATTTGAGCCAAGGCTTTAACCACTAGGCTGCCACCCCACCCACTCACAGTTAGAGAGTTGGTCATACACAGAGTTGGTCATACACAGTCAGAGAGTTGGTCATACACAGAGTTGGTCATACACAGTCAGAGAGTTGGTCATACACAGTCAGAGTTGGTCATACACACTCAGAGTTGGTCATACACAGTCAGAGTTGGTCATATACAGTCATCAGAGAGTTGGTCATACACAGTCAGAGTTGCCATGTACACAGTCATAGTTGGTCATACACAGTCAGAGAGTGGGTCATACACACAGTCAGAGTTGGTCATACACACAGTCAGAGTTGGTCATACACAGTCAGAGTTGGTCATACAGTCCGAGAGTTGTCATACACAGTCAGAGTTGGTCATACACAGAGTTGGTCATACACAGTCAGAGTTGGTCATACACAGTCAGAGTTGGTCATACACAGTCAGAGTTGGTCATACAGTCAGAGAGTTGGTCATACATAGAGTTGGTCATACACAGAGTTGGTCATACACAGTCAGATGGTTGGTCATACACAGAGTTGGTCATACTGTCAGAGAGTTGGTCATACATAGAGCCGGTCATACAGTCAGAGAGCTGGTCATACACAGTCAGAGAGTTGGTCATACACAGTCAGAGTTGGTCATACACAGCCAGAGAGTGGGTCATACACAGCCAGAGAGTGGGTCATACACAGAGCTGGTCATACATAGAGTTGGTCATACAGTAGTCAGAGAGTTGGTCATACATAGAGCCGGTCATACAGTCCCAGAGTTGGTCATACATAGAGTGCGGTCATACACAGAGTTGGTCATACAGTCAGAGAGTTGGTCATACACAAGAGTTGGTCATACACAGAGTTAGTCATACAGTCAGAGAGCTTGTTATACACAATCAGAGTCTAAAATACACAGTCAGAGAGTTGGTCATACAGTCAGAGAGCCGGTCATACATAGAGTTGCTCATACACTAGAGTTGGTCATACAGTCAGAGAGTTTGTTATACACAGTCAGGTCGTTGGCCATACATAGTCAGAGAGTTGGTCATACACAGAGTTGGTCACACACAGTCAGAGTTGGTCATACACTCGTCAGAGTTTGTTATACACAGTCAGAGGCGCTAATATACACAGTCAGAGAGTTGGTCAGACAGTCATACTTTCCACACTCAGATGACATCTCTTTAGCTGGCAGCAATGTTTTGAGTCCGGATGTCCTGAGCACAGTACTCACACTAACAGCATCCACCATGAAGCCACAACGCCCCTTGTATCTGAGCTCCCGGTACTCCTTGAACTGGTAGAACAGTGCCAAGTAGCTGTAACAGACAGAACTGGTAGAACAGTGCCAAGTAGCTGTAACAGACAGAACTGGTAGAACAGTGCCAAGTAGCTGTAACAGACAGAACTGGTAGAACAGTGCCAAGTAGCTGTAACAGACAGAACTGGTAGAACAGTGCCAAGAAGCTGTAACAGACAGAACTGGTAAGAACAGGTGCCAAGTGAAGCTGTAACAGACAGAACTGGTAGAACAGTGCCAAGAAGTTGTAACAGACAGAACTGGTAGAATAGTGCCAAGTAGCTGTAACAGACAGAACTGGTAGGGAACAGTGCTTAGTAGCTGTAACAGACAGGAACTGGTAGAACAGTGCCAAGTAGCTGCTGTAAACAGACAGAACTGGTAGAACAGTGCCAAGAAGCTGTAACAGACAGAACTGGTAGAACAGCAGCTAAGTAGCTGTAACAGACAGAACTGGTAGAACAGTGCCAAGTAGCTGTAACAGACAGAACTGGTAGAACAGTGCCAAGTAGCTGTAACAGACAGAACTGGTAGAACAGTGCCAAGTAGCTGTAACAGACAGAACGGGTAGAACAGCGCCAAGTAGCTGTAACAGACAGAACTGGTGGTGAACAGTGCCAAGTAGCTGTAACAGACAGAACTGGTAGAACAGTGCCAAGTAGCTGTAACAGACAGAACTGGTAGAACAGTGCCAAGTAGCTGTAACAGACAGAACTGGTAGAACAGGTGCCAAGTAGCTGTAACAGACAGAACTGGTAGAACGGTGCCAAAGTAGCTGTAACAGACAGAACTGGTAGAACGGTGCCAAGTAGCTGTAACAGACAGAACTGGTAGAACGGTGCCAAGTAGCTGTAAAACAGACAGAACTGGTAGAACAGTGCCAAGTAGCTGTAACAGACAGAACTGGTAGAACAGGTGCCAAGTAGCTGTAACAGACAGAACTGGTAGAACAGTGCCAAGTAGCTGTAACAGACAGAACTGGTAGAAAGTGCCAAGTAGCTGTAACAGACAGAACTGGTAGAACAGTGCCAAGTAGCTGTAACAGACAGAACTGGTAGAACAGTGCCAAGTAGCTGTAACAGACAGAACTGGTAGAACAGTGCCAAGTAGCTGTAACAGACAGAACTGGTAGAACAGTGCCAAGTAGCTGTAACAGACAGAACTGGTAGAACAGTGCCAAGTAGCTGTAACAACAGAACAGAACTGTAACAGACAGAACTGGTAGAACAGTGCCAAGTAGCTGTAACAGACAGAACTGGTAGAACAGTGCCAAGTAGCTGTAACAGACAGAACTGGTAGAACAGTGCCAAGTAGCTGTAACAGACAGAACTGGTAGAACAGTGCCAAGTAGCTGTAACAGACAGTCCAGCTGTATGACAGCAACCTACACTTAACATTGGACAACACACTCCTGCGAATGATATCATGAACGTCAAAACCAGCAATATCTAACCTGAGTTTGAGATATATTGGATCAACAGCCGAGGTCTGGGCCCAGTTGCACAAAGCCATCTTAGCGTTAAGCTGATCATAACTCCCATACCTTAACATGGACTCACTGAAGTCATTGCACTAAGATCCCTTTGTGCACAGTGGCCCAGGAGCTGTCACTAGTATCAGAGACAGTAAGCGTGCTATGATTACTACATGGTAAAGTTAGAGTCTTAACAGAATTACAATAGGTCTGAACAACTCACTAGCTGGCGCTGTCGAGGGCGTTCCCAGTGACATTGGTGCCATCCGCTGCCTGAAGAGCATAACCTCCTGAGGTTGTGAGGTCAGAGGCAAGATCTGCGACTTGTCCAAATATGGACGGTATGCAACGACCAATCACTGTCAAGAAAGAGGAAAAAGGATAACTCTGTTTATATACTTACTATCACCACTAAACAAAACTATCAATTTACAGAAAAAACATCCTAGACTGTCTTCCTGGCAGCCAAAAACACAGGATGTACTCACGAAGAAATCACCATCAGTGCTTGTGTGAGCATTGAGAAATGAAAAGTTGACAATTTTGAAGTTTGTTATTTCACACAGTAGGCCATTTTGTTTTTAGAAAAATATTCTTTTAAATGATGGGTTTCAAATTTTACTGACCCAAATTTCAAACATAAATCTGTTGCCCCTAATGCTACAAGATGTAAGACCTAAATGTGGTCCTGGCTAGCTATTCTCTAAAACATTTGTAACGCCATTTAACTTCTGAAGCCCATTCTTAACACATTGGCTACGATCAAAGTTAAGAATTCTTAGGGCTACGAACGTTTCAAGAATAAGGGCCCTGACGGCGTGTGGTCCTGTGCACAGAGCTCAGGTCACAAATCAGTTGAAGTTAAGCGACATTGTGCGCGGAGAGTCCTTGGATGGGTGACCGTTTCAATGGCAGCTTGACTCCTGAGAGTGTCTAGGACTTCAGTCCTTCCCGACAACGAAGCACATGTGATACATGTGGTCTCGGCTTAGGCAAGTGAGTTTGTTCAAACTTGCCTCTGTTCACCCAGCAGAAAAATGGTTACCAGATGGAATAAGTCATGTGACTTAGTGCTATGTGTATACCTGGTGTGGAGTTTGCGCTATATAAATGGACATACAAATACTCAACAATTATTTGGGGAAATAGGTGAACTGAGCGGTCAGTTAAGACATGGGTCAAGACTGACCTGCAGTATTCTCCACATAGTATGGGGCACAGTCCTGGTTGTCTATCAGAGTCTGTAGGTCCGACTGGAACACAAATACAACTTATATTTAATATCGGAGTATAAACAGCAGTGTGATACAATCAGATCTCTCATTGGGTAGCTCACAAAGGAGGTCAGGTCAGGTCAGGTCAGGTCAGGTCAGGTCAGGTCAGGTCAGGTCAGGTCAGGTCTCTGTGAACTTTGACCAACCAATCAAATCAAAGATGTGTGGGTTTTGAGCCAATAAGATATCCTATCTCTGAAACAAGTAAGCTTCATTCTGATTGGACAGCACTTTATAGGACGTGTTCTGGAGAGAAATTTAGTTTCTTTGGTTTTTAGTTATCTGATAGCCAAAACACATCTTTACAAGAACCATGAACGTTGCATCAAAACGCAACCGTAACGCCTCGTGCAGTCACTTTCTGCACTTGCAGAGTCGAGCAGATAGGTTTCTGACGGCTAAGTGAATGGTCGACAATTGGGATCAGTGAGACTCTGGTCGTTAGATTACACAAATAGTTTGCCATATTCGAGCATAGTATAGATACTAAACAATTTAGAATTATAGTTGTGTATCTTAGCAGATAGCTTATTTAGTTCATGTAGTTTAGAAAAAGTATCATATTTAGTTTGGTGGTCGGAGTGGCAAAAGTATCATATTTAGTTTGGTAGTCGGAGTGGCAAGAAGGTTGTTTATTTTCCATTTAGTTAAGCACGTTTGTTCACGTTTCACGTTCACAAATTAATTTAGTAATTCCACTGCGTAAACAGGACGTGTCTGTAATATATGGAACAGGGTGACTGTAAAACCAATAGAGGAGAAACTGCATTTCTTAAAAATGACTTCAAAAGTTTTTAGCTTTCATTGAGGTATTCACATAAAACGTTAGCTTGTAGATTTACTCAAAGTGTGCACACAATTTTTAATGTTTATAACTCCATAATGAAAACAAATTGAAAAAATATTCTTAAGTAATTCAGATAAACAATATAAACTTCACAGACCACTTGTTTAATTATTAAACACACAAAAACAACAGTAGGAAATCTGGGACATTGTTATATGCAAGTATTATGATTATTATGATTTGTCTGAAGGTTTTTAGGCGCATCATATGCATGCACAAATGCAGATTGTAAACACTCCTAAATATGATATGACACATACAGCCCCCTAAAAGGCTTCAAATATTTTACAAGCCCTCAGATCAGACAAGCTGTGACACGCGGCTTGCATGATATTCAGTATCCGTGTATTTTGGGACTGCACATGGCTTGGGGGTTGATAATGATTTTAAGATGGCCACCCATTTTGTTCTGGAGAGGCAGGGGGTATCATAAATTTTGTACACATGTAGAGAGGGGAGTCATCACTGATTTGTACATGACATGGGGGCTGGGGTGGGGCACTTACTTTACATTATAAATTTTAGGGGAGTCACACCCCCAGGCCATAAATTATGAACGGTCCCTTACAATATGTAGTGAGTGAACTTGCATGGTTTTATGCCGCTTTTAGCAATATTCCAGCAATATCATGGCGGAGACACCAGAAATGGGCTTCACATATTGTACCCAAGTGGGGAATCGAACCCGTGCCTTCAGCGAACGAGCGAATGCTTTAACAGCTAGTATACCCCACCACCCCTTAAAATCTGTGAACAACTTTGCTTTATTATGACATTGAAGAATATTTTATTCTGATTGGTGTTGTACAAAACTATCTTGGCCTAAGGTGCATCTTGACACAGACTTTTGATAGTTATAGTGTTATGGTTGCTTGTTCGGCAGCACCAGGTTAAAGTCCATTATATACACATGGAAAAAAGTATCGCAACACCCCATATTCTTCATAGTGTCAATATGTTACAATTAACCATAGCAAAGCAACTTCTCCAAACCGTCAGTGATTATATACTTACAGTGGCGGTGGGATCTACGCTGTTTTTACACAGCATCTTGTTCCTCTCGGACGTTAGCATTCCCCCCGCTACTGTCTCCAGGGCCTGCGTCTCCAGGTATACGTAGTACGTGCTTGTACAGTTGGTCACACACACCTAGATCAGGACAGAGATGCAGGACGTCAGTCAGTGGCCGTAGCGTTGTCTTGACCAGCACTGCAGTTACACCATGACGACACTGACCAGGAAGCTAAAATCGACACTGGACATGCCCATTTTGGGGGCGTTCGTTTATAAAATTTAGCTCCCCCTATAGCAGTTTTTGGAAAAGCCATGATCACTGCCGACAAACCCAGAACCAGAACTGGGAATTTATTATAGGGCCTGGAAGTCTTGTGATGCGCTACTTCCACTACTAAAGCTGGTTCCCTTTGCAAGTGTTAACATGCGACATTCGACACGGAGCCCATCTTACTTCCAGTACTAGATTTCCAGTAACAAGCATATATTCAAGAACCAGCTCTGGTTCCAAATCACATGACCGTAAAGATGACTTCACTAGACCGGACCAAGTGTACAACCATATAGGGGGCAAATATGACAGTCAATATCAATTTTTGACACTTAGAACAAGAAGGATGCAGATGAGTGAAGTTATACTTTTATATAGAATTTGTTCCCAGTTGATCGCATAGGATGGTGAATAGAAAACACTTACTTTAAACATGATCGCAACTTTCAAAAATGTATCTCTTCACGCGCCAGAAGCAATTACATTAATATAAAGCACAAATGGATAATATCAAAATACGGCCTATTCCTGCAGTTCTCATGAATAAATATGTCACATGCAAGATGCGTTATGTATATCAACAATAAGAACTCGAACAGAACAAAAGATGCGTGAAATATCTATTCACTCATGGAGATCCTTGGGTTGAGGAGAAATTGAAAGAAGTGGTAGTAAAATCCTACCTAAATTTCCAAAAAATTCCAAGCCTTGGAAATATGATATTTCCAATTTTGGAAATTTTTGGAAACATGATGTTTCCAATTTTGGAATTTTTTGGAAATATCATATTTCCAAATTGGAAATTTTTGGAAATCACCATTTTTTTTCTTGTGCATCCTTGGCTGACACAGCTGTTGACAGTCGTAATAGTTGGCTAATTTGGAGGATGGTAAGATCGGAAATTTGTTATTCCTGCAAGAATTATCGGTTCCTTACTGTCAACTGACAACCATGAGAGCATTCAAAAAGGGTATGAAACATTGTTTGTCACCGGAAGTACTAAGGTCTCGCGAAGTGCCGTGACCTACTCATGAGCCCTCTTACTTACATAAAAATCTATATTTTGTCATTTACACAAGACAAGTTCCTGCTTGTTACAGACAACAAAGTTAAATCTACATCATACAAACTACAAAATTGTAATACTGAGCTGCATTAATATATAGAGAATACTAAACGATGTCCCGTGTAATACCATATTTATGAAACGTATGAATGGTTTGGTATCTAACGAGCGAAAGCGAGTTAAATACCAATGCCATTCACGAGTTTCATAAATATAGTATTACACGGGACATAGTTTAGTATTTTATTTATTACTCACCCAACATTAGCAAAATATTATCGATCAAAGTACTTCTTTCCTAAGAATTCAACAAGTGTGATGACTCTCATCTTTCCGCGAGTCAAGCAAGGTCTAATACTATTGTGACAGAGGTATTAGCATTGTGACGCCATAACTGTAAATCACTCTGACGCCATACGTATAATTATACAATGTGTAATAACATTGTAAAATTATTAAACAGTGATATCTTCAACGGGTGAGTAATAAAATGATTTTGCACATGTTCTTGTTTATTCTACATAAATTACAATAATAATTCAAGAATTAAGTAGACAAGTTCTACTCTTTGAACAGTTTCATTTTGTTTTTGATGTTTACTTTAGTGACATTTCAAACAGAAAGTATAAACAGTATTGTGATAACGCCATCCTTTTAACTGCACAGGACGAAACTCTGCAATACGCTACAACAATATAACAATAAATCACAATGAGTGGAGCTTTAAAGACACTCATGAACGTCCTGATAGGCCGGGGACACACTCAGTCCTTCCTAATTTAGCCCAGGACTATCAGTCAGGTCAGTACAAATCCCATGAACTTGTTTTCCAATTTATATTTTAGGAGCCAGAAAAAAACAGAATGAAAAAAAACAAATTCTCTGAAAGTGGAGCGTAAATGTGTCTGTGATGAATAAGTCAAAGCTGGTTCAGGTCTTGTTTAGTTACTGTAAAAATTACTGTATTACTGACTTGTTTGTTGTGAGATCGAGTTGTAAATTACTTTCCTGATATATAACATTATACACCACAGTTATATTTTATGCGTAAAGGCACAATGTCACACATTTTGGACAATATTTTGGCCTATATTATATATATTGGGGCATATGCACTCACTTAAGCTTCCTATTGATGCAATAAAAGACTTGTAATCCCTTACAACTTGTCTGAAATCCATAATTGAAACTTCGAGGCGAACAGCTTCCAAACAGAGAACACTTGTCATATATGGTATGTAAATACATCCATACATTGAATACTGTAGCGTGCAGTATTGTCGGTGTTTGCCGAACTGGTTTCAATCACAAGTTGTGCACAGGGATTAGGATATTCGTAAAGAGCTCTCCAAGGGACATAAATCTGTGGGGTTCGCTTGAAATATCGTTCAGCCGGTAGAGGGCACAAGAGTTGATTTAATGCAACGTTGCATTAATTCATTCGAACTTTTTAACTTAAAATTGTAATCTAAATACATAACTATTTTTTTAATAAATTATATGGTAGCTTCCCCGAGGGCTGATAGTTGGCATTATTGAGAGAAATGCATTTGAGAAGTGTGGTGTGATATAGTGCCACACCACCAGAGTGTGCCCTGGGTCATTGCAGCATGGTCAGTCCACAAACTGCTGATCCTGGTTTACTCAAGGGACACAACTCTGTACAGACCATGCCCCTTGAGATTACCTGAGGCGGGGCAGCCAAATGTTATGACACCAACTCCCATTTTAGCACACCCAGCAGGTCGAAAAAACATCAAGTTGGGCTTGGATCTGAAATACAACATTTCCTGCTTTATTCAACACAACATATAAATGACAGCAGTTTGTAAATAAGCTCGTCTGGGCCAGATAATCCAGTGATTGACATCATGAGCACCAGTTTATACATTTGGGATGTGATGCTCATAATAAACCAAATCTGAGTCTAACCACTCGATTCCATCAGCTGCCTCTTTCGGTAAGCATGGCTTGCCGAAACTTAATTCTAACCAAGATTTAAACGAGATTGGTTTCAATATTTTGCAATTCTCAAAAGGGTCCTCAAAATTACTTTAGGTGAGGTGAAATTTGGTTTTACGTCGTGCTCGAGAATATCTCACTCATATGACGACATGCATGCGTATGTATGTGTATGTGCGGCTGCTTGTACTTGCCCAGGCTGAAGCTGGTTTTATAGTGCTAGCCCACTCAGATACCATGCCGCAGTGAAGCATGAATACCCCACTCAGACACATTATACTGACTCCGAGCCAACCAGTCGTCGTTGTACCCATTAATGCCGAGCGCCAGGCAGGGACCAACAAGTACCATATTTTAACGTCTTTTGGTAGGACGCAGTCGGGGATCGAACCCCGCAACCTTCCGCTCTCTGGGCGGACGCTCTAACCACTACACCACGGAGGCGGTCTCAAAATTACTTTAAGCCCAACAGTCCATGTTGTACTTCCTAAATGTCAAGCAACCAGTCAGTTTAGTACAAATGTCATCTTGATCTGAGACATGGTGATACATACGCATAGTCCCCATATCCACAGAGGTTCCCGTCACTGTCACTGTCCGTGGGGTAGATCAGCTTGATGGGGTCTCCACGTACATAGCCTGTGTGGGATGAAGCATTGATGCATCTGTCAAACTTATACATAATAAACATAAATTTTCTTTTTCGACGATATGAATCAGTAGCTTTATTTACAAATTTAATTTAAAGTCCAAAGTTTTACCTAACACAGAATGTATGTCCATGAACAAGGTCCTTACCTAACACAGAACATGCCGCCATAAGCAAGACGCAGATGAAAAACAGCAGGCAGCAGATGACATCCGTGCATGATCTGAAAAAAATGCAGAAATTGGGAGGTTAAAAAAGGCCAGTGGTGATTGGGTTAGAGATGGTCGTTGTTAGATCAGAGTTTCTGCAGATCAATTCTAGTCATCTTAAAACAAATACGTAACATTCCATGTTCAATTTCTGTCTGGTAAAGTTTATGGTTAAATCTCAAGACCTGTTCACTTTTCCTGAAAATTATTTGTTTTTTACTGTGAAAAACATATACACTTTAAGCTGGTAGCAGAAATACCATTGGCATATCTGTTTGTTGTGTCCCAAGACATCGATATTTTGTTTTGCAGATTCATTCATTATGCCCACAGTCTTTTTATGTTTAAAACTTATTAAACAAAACTTACTGAAGTCAATTCTAAAATAATTTGATTTGTCTTGACAGATTATAAATGCCAATCTCTTGAATGGCACCAACAAATCCCATAAAGGAAAATGGAAAACATGGACGTTACAGATGGCGTTTCATTCTTTGAGAACTTTTCATCATCGACCATGAGAACTTAGATCTTACTGATGTGGGTTTACACATACCTTTGTTTTATTGGTCCTTTAAAGTTGGGGTCAAATTTCTTTGCTTGCCCTGAGAAATAAAAATAGCAGAATCGTGTTCACAACCAAAACTAAGTCTGGAGATGGAGTAATTGTCACAGACCTTACCTCATGTAGAACTAGCAGTCTAAGTAAACTTAGGCTCAGTATTATTCGTTAAACTGCTGTACTGAGTCTAACAAAACCTTGTGGAAGGTCGCGTCAGGTAACCTTTGAGCGATCTATGACCGTCCAATCAAATGCGAGTCGACCAAACGGATTTAACCAGTCAGACAACAGCTACTATTTAGGGTTCGCGGGACTTACAAAATGTATTTTCTCTTCCCCGGTCGCCAACACTGATCTCACAACAAATGAAAACCTGCATAAAACATAGATATATGACCTGCAGAATATACGCTTTTTGGTTTCTGTTGACATGGTTATCATTAGCTAATATTTGCGCAAGCTGACATCCTTGAATACTGACAAAACGCTATTTTCAGCGACTGTTTACGCACTCTTGTGGCGTGCTCCATGTGCATCACTCGGAAGCGATTGTACGAAAAATAGCATTCGGAATCATTCAGGTACAAAACGTTTTCGAGGTAAAAGTTCAAAAGGTATGTGCGAATGTCAACTTTCGCGATTTGTAAGCTGTATTCTGATTGGTCAATTGAAAATATTACCTGACGCGACCTTCCACAAGGTTTTGTTAAACGCAGTATATCAGTGTACCGAATAATTCTGAGCCTAAGTTTACTTAGACTGGTATAACTAGTATAAAGTAATAATTTTAAATATGGTGAAAGACCACACTTTTATTACTATCAGTAAATAATTGTATCAAAAGGCAAATATAAAAGTGCAAAAACCAATTGACCCTGACAATGGTCACTGATAGATAAAATCAGATATATACACAAGCAAATTAGCTAAACAAATATTTTATTATTATTATTATTAATGGATATTTATATAGCGCACATATCCACGCACTAGTGCATGCTCAAGGCGCTGGTATTATTTCCCTGGATCATTCAATGTCAATCTCAACGGCACATCTTATTATCAATCTCAGCTCCCTGGGAAGCATACAACTCTTGCTGCCACAAGGCGCACCGAGTTATTGCGGCTTTCTCATCCATCCGACTATGAAGCAGTAATAACCAAAGAATAGCTTAAACAACGCTTTGACAAGATTCTGGCCTGAGATATTGACAAGATGCATAGACAAGATATTGAGATATTGACAAGATGCATAGACAAGATATTGACGAGATATTGACAAGATGAATAGACAAGATATTGACAAGATGAATAGACGAGATATTGATGAGATATTGACAAGATGCATAGACAAGATATTGACAAGATGCATAGACAAGATATTGACGAGATATTGACAAGATGAATAGACAAGATATTGACGAGATATTGACAAGATGAAAAGACAAGATATTGACGAGATATTGACATGATGCATAGACAAGATATTGACAACATGCATAGACAAGATATTGACTGACTGACTGACTGACTGAGTTTGGTTTTACGCCGCTTTTAGCAATATTCCAGCAATATCACGGCGGGGGACACCAGAAATGGGATTCACTAATTGTACCCATGTGGGGATTCGAACCCGGGTCTTCGGCGTGACGAGCCAACGCTTTAACCACTAGACTACCCCACCGCCCCAAGATATTGACAAGATATTGACAAGATGAATAGACGAGATATTGATGAGATATTGACAAGATGAATAGACAAGATATTGACAAGATGCATAGACAAGATATTGACGAGATACTGACAAGATGAATAGACAAGATATTGACGAGATATTGACAAGATGCATAGACAAGATATTGACAACATGCATAGACGAGATATTGACAACATGCATGGACAAGATATTGACTGAGATATTGACAAGATGAATTGACAAGATATTGACGAGATATTGACATGATGCATAGACAAGATATTGACAACATGCATAGACAAGATATTGACAAGATCCATAGACAAGATACTGACAAGATACTGACAAGATATTGACAAGATGTATGCAGTGGTAAGACGTCTGCTTATCAAACTGAAGGCCCGGGTTTCGATCCCCGGTGGAGGCACCTAGGTTCTGGTCCGAGGTGGGCACATTCTGGGCATCATCCTTGGACAAGATACTTAGATCCACATTGTCTCAGTTCACCCAGCTGTAAAATGAGTACCCGTGAGGATGTGCTGGCAATGTGAGTGTTTAGCTCATTCGCCTAACAGGCAGCATGGCTGCATGTTCTCCTGGGAGTTGAAAAAGTATCGTTAAGTACGATAGTGTCCTATGACCGGGGATAGTAATGTACGTAGCGCCATGAGCAGGCAATGCGCCTGGATACGACCGCCATATGAGCGGACTATTACTATTACTATTCCTGTTACTAACATTCAAAGACAGCCAGTTAAGTCAGCTTTGACTAATCGGCATGTAAAAGTTTAACTCAACACTTTCACAAGTGAATAACCTTGGCTGGGTTGAACTGTGAGAAATAGATACTACAGAACCTATCCCTAAAATAAGTCTTTGGGGCAATAGTATAGATGACAAACACCTGAATAGTAAACTAGTCTTAATGAATGCACAATGCCATACTCTGAGTGAGTGGGTTCGAATCCTGGACAGGACTCAAGCCAAGAACAAACTCCCATCCTCGAAGAACTTCACTGGCTCCCCATATCCTTCAGAATCAATGTCAAGCTTCTCCTCTTCACACACAGCTGCAATTACGATAATGACTTTCCCAAGAATTTTGTAACTCTCCATACTCCCAGCAGATCTCTCCGTTCCAGCAACTCCCTTCTTCTGTCTCAGCCAACCTAAAAGACCACTATGGGTGACAGAGCCTTCTCAGCTGCAGCCCCATTACTCTAGAAAAGCCTCGCTATCATTATCAGAGAAATCAATTGTAAAGACTCTTTCAAAAAAGCTCTAAAAACCCACCTGTTCACAATATCCCTCTCATAGACTTTTCTTACTCTCTTCTTCAGCGCCGTTGAGCAAATACTTTTTGGAAGCAGGTGCTATATAAATTCATTATCATTATCATTATCATTATATCATTATCATTATCATTAAGAAGAGTCCTAGAATCTGTACTTTACTGAGAAAGTGTGATCCCAAACATAACATAAGTTAGTCAGACACTCTTGAGATTCGGTCACTCAGACTTGGCAAAGGAAATACCCCCGTTCCCAACAAGACAAATTACTTTGTCTACGATGTATATATAATCAAACAATATGAATGTTAATACACCAGTAACTTGACTCCCAATTGTAAACAGGTACTTAACGTAAATAGGTTATCCTCGAACGACTAGAAAAGCTGATTATAAAAAAATCT